GCGAACGTGCACAAAGCAAGCTGGGCGCGGGGGACAGCAGCGTACAGAAGCAGGAGCCCGAGACCTGAGCGTCGCCAAGTTGGGGTAGGGAGGTGAGCAAGCCAACAGGCGCCGGGGCCGCCCTGGCGCTTGCCGGAGGACAGTGCGGTGCACGGTGCAGGCGGGCAGCGATCCGGGTCGTGGCGTGCGGCGAGCGTGTCATCCGTACTGGGCACTCACGGAGTAGCTGTGAGAGGGAGCGGCACGGTGCGCCACCTGTTAGGCGCGGCATGGAACTGTCGCGTATACGGAAGATGAGCGGCGCATTGAGGTGATTGCGAATGGTGTGTTCTTTTGTGGGATGGCGCCCAGCTCGCAGCTGACACAACCTTGGTCTCCCCGCTGACGTCAGCTGGAGCTCCCCGCATGCAGCGCGTTGTCGCTTGATGTCGCTTGGTCGTTCTTGGCATCGAGGTTGGCAGCCGCTGGAGTGTTGAAGCTGCCAACTTCGTCCAGTTGTTGGCCCGAGCAACGGCACGCAATGACCCAGCCGTCACTGCTTTCGTCGGCTGCCGCAGCACCAGTTTGCTCTTTTTGCCAATCGCCAATACCGCCATGTTCAGCGCATAAACCAGGGCATGCCTTGGTTGCGGCACGGAGCAGGCAAGTGACGGACGTGCCAGTACGCGGGATCAATCCCTGCTGGTACAGCAAGCACGCCTGTTGGAACCACCGGGCGAAGCGTCGCAGGACATCGGCGACGACGAGCACACGGGCGTGCAGAGAACATCAGAGAGCGACTAAGCGCCCGAGTCCACACCATTTCGCTCTTGGCAAGCATACCTTGTATCCCTGGATGCGCGTGCCGCCTACGACGGCATCAGCCGCCAGGCGATTCTACAGGAACTCCGGTCCTTGCCTGCAGCAGCTGCGTTGCTCCCGTTTGCCAGGCTCTGTTTGGGCCGTCCTTCGTCCTTTGTGTGAGGTTTCGTGTGGCAACAAGGAACAGCTGCTCGGCACATCCACCAAGCCGAAGGCGCTGAACAAGGAGATCCCCCAGCCCCGCTCTGTTCTGTTTTGGTTTGCAGCCTGCTCTCCGAGACCTGCAGCGCGACCTCCGCGAAGACCTCGCGGAGTTGCACCTGACGGCCTCCGTGAGCTTTCGCCTGATGCACGCGTGTGGTTTGGTGACCCAGCCCTTGAACCGTCTGCGCGAGTAATTCGTTCTCCTCGGAGCCCCCTTCGGCGAGCCGGATTTCGTTTCCAGGCACTTGCAGGCTCTTTCTGACCGACACAAGACCGATGAACTTCGCACCCTCCGCGACGATACGCCTATCTTCGGCATGGCGCCGATATCCGGTTTGCCTGCATCGCCGTGTTCGAAGAGCGCGGGCAGGCACCGAATGAGTGCCGCAGCGTGTTGCGCCGCATACTCGGCAGCAAGATGGGGCAGCCGACTTGTAGTAGATCATCAACGTGGGGGTTGCGCTGCCGGAGCGAACGCGATCGGGTCCGGTGATGATGTTGTCGTCATCGAAGAACAAGGCGGCCTCACGGTCCAGCTGGCTTTGCAGATCGCAGGGCGCGTCGTGTTGTGGATCAGCGCTTTGCCCTCGACAAGTGTATGCACATGTCCTGCGCGGGGTCAGCATCGTACCACGTGTAGGGTCGTTTCGCGGCGTGCTCGCTGAGGCGAAAACTGCGGTGGCCTGGCGCAAAAGGTCACACCACTGGCCCGGAAGCACGCACAACGTGGTCGAGTTCAGTATGCGCAAGGCAAAAAACTACCGACCGCGGACCTCGTCTTTAGGAGAGGGGGGGTTATAATGACACGACATGACACGACGTCACTTGAAAGATTTGCCACATTGTGGGCAGACGCTCGTGACACTTGCAAGACTGAACACGCACGGAAAAAATTGAACACGGCCATGTGGGGATAAAGCAATGACATGACATGACCTGACCTGACATGACATGACATGATGACATGACATGACGCAAGCACCATTTCAAAGATTGAACACGACGAAGCGGGGATAGCACCATGACACGACGCCACTTCAAAGGTTCAACACGATAATGTGGGTTTGGCACTGTGACACGATGCATGCGCCGCGGGGCCGAATAAACACGACAAAGTGAGGATGGCAGAGTGACACGACGCACGCACGCCACCAGATCAATTGAACACGAGAAAATGGAGACGGCACCGTGATGCACGCGCCATTGAGAAGAAATGTGGGATGGCACAATAACACGACGCACAAGGCACTTCAAGGATTGAACATGACAATGGAACGGATAGCACCGTGACATGATGTTCGCTGGCCGTGCGAGCGGTGCCCGTCAGCTTCCCCTGGCCATCGACGTCACCGCCAACGTTGATGGCGACCCGCCATCGAAGAAACCAGTCTAGCGTACGCATACTAGCCTGCGAGGTGCGTACGTGCTGACCGTAAACTAGAACCTTAGCCAAAAAAAACGGCTGCTTTGGCGACTTGGACCAAAATGTTCAACTTTGGCGGGGGGGGGGGGGTGGCCTGATCCACACGAGGTCCGACAATGCACTGACCACTCGGTCGCTGCACGCGCGAAGTTCGCGTGCTGGTGGAAAAGTCCGGACGAATAACAACTTTCAGGAAGAGGGTGTGGGAAGAAGCTTGAGCGCACCTCCGTGGCAACCGCATCAAGGCACAATGTGGATGAAGTCGACAAATCAGTTGCGATGTTCGGAGGTTTTGACGAATCCGTGGAATGAGCTGAAGCCGTTTTGCCGGACTCTGTTTTGGCAAACGCCTAGGGCCTCGTGCTGGAAGCGAACAGGGACTTATCATGGTGGGCACCGGCAACAGAGTCCTCGGTGAGGAGCTCTGGCCCGTTGACACGGAGTCAAGTGAAGCAAAGCAGGTGGTGTCCCTTCGCATGTCTTTGCGCGTGCTTGCTATTGCTTGCTCATATTCATGTGTCTTGGCTCGTCTTAGCGTGTCTTCGCCAATCTTCGCTTCTCTTCGCGTCTGTTCGCTCATCCTCGCATGTCTTCCCTCGTCTTCGCGAGTCTTCCCTCGTCTTCGCGTGCCTTCGCTCGTTTTCCAGCGCCAAATAAGGGAAGCCTCATCAGGGCAGCACACCGCTGGACCCAGGCAGACACGCAGGTAACACACAGACGAGAAGGTGCGAAAGAAAGAAGTGCAAAACGGCAGGAATTGCAGGGAGATAGGTATTTCACAAGACATGAACTGGACAGGCTGCTCATGCAATGAATCCAAGGATCCCGACTAGAGTTGATTAGAGCTGGAGTTCGACAACTGGGCCAAGAAGCGGATGAACTCGGCTGCTAGGGCCGTCCACATCCGTCCACAAAGGACTCGCCCTCATGCCGACCACTAGCTCGGTCATGAACCCGAGGTGCTCGGCCGCTCTTTGCTGTGACGGGGCATCGCGGCATCGTCCAACACAACATGCACAAATCGCGCCAGGAAAAGATGCGAACGCAGACATGAAGCGGTACGACGGTCCCCTGGGGGTCTCACCAAGACTCACCAGCGTAGTGCGTCGACTTGCGCGATGGGACGAGACGCCCGCTAAGTCTCGGGCCGCACGGGTACTTTGAGCACCGTGCCTTAAGCAAATCTTCTCAGGGCCAAGCTCGTGGCCGCGTATAGTTCTTGGTTCCGAGTAGGTATTTAGATCGGTAGGAGCCGTGTCAATGAAAGCAATTCATGGAAGCAGCAGGACACGGCACCGCGTGCTTCGTTGTCTGGAAACGCCGTGCAAGAATCGGAACTGCATCGACAACAAGTGTCCAAGCTCTCGCTTTCCATCAGAGATCCCACAACCATAACCACGACGACCCCAGCACGCAAAAGTTGCATCCACGACGCACAAGCACCAAGATGTTTTCAGTGCAGATTGATCACAATGTTCAACTAAAAAAACTGACCATCCAAACCGGCTCCTCTGAACATAGCCATTACCGCATTAGCGAATGGTGGACAAGGGATTACCAGCTCACACCTACCGGAATGGGATTGCACATAGCTTGCCAGATGTGCCGAGTGTGAGCATTCAAAGTTAGCAGCCGCTCAATTCCATTCGCGGAAATCGTGTGCTCGCCTTGCCATTTGTGTACAAGTTCGGGTTGAATCGCACTCGCCCATCCTAGGCGTACCAAATTCTGGAAAACGACCAGCTCAAGCATCCCTGCTCATCAAAAGCTTGGCACAGCACTCCCGTGCAGAAGATTGCACACGGAGGTTTCAAAGGGTACGAGTTCCTTGGTGCGGGTGCCAACACAAGTCATGCCCAAGAAGACTGCTCTTGGCATGCTGCAAACGCTTTTGGCCGAATGACGGGAAAACAAATTGGAACAAATATGGTGCACGTGCATAAGGTGACCCATCAGGTCCGATGATGATCGCCACAGCCTCAGCATCCGAAGCGCCTCAACCATGGCCAACCGACGCCAACCGCACTCGAACCGATGAGCCTTGTGCGGATGGACGTCATCGAAATGGTGGAATATCCCCTGGACTACTCAGTTACTCTTCAAAATCGTTCACGCAGCGACGACAACTGGCACGCCACGTTTCCACCTGCACTTCCAAGCCCTCTCTATTCAGATCAGCTTGCTCACGCAAGAGCCGCCTCTACAGGGTTTGATGCTTCATGACATGCACATCACAGCACAGGCAATGTTCCGAAGGCAACCTCACGTTCTCGGCCTCGTAGCAACTACGGATAGTTCGCCGTTGTATTCATGGCTGACATCTGCTGACAGCATTGTTTGCAGTTTGCCGTATTTGCTGTTGTGTCTTTTGAAGCTTCACGATCCGGATTATCAAAAGAGTTCGAAGCGATAGATCGTTTTGAGCCCAGCGCTTGATTTGCAATGACACATGACCAAACATTCGGCCTATGACATTCGACGTTCCAATACGTTCCAGAATAGTCCCCATGTTTGCTCATGATGAAGATTGGCTGCAAATTGTGCAACGGGTAGGGCAACTGAGTGCCCAAACCATCCCCGGACTGCTTCTGAGGCAAGCTTTTCGTGAAAAGAAGCTGGCAGCCAGCCACCTGCCAAGCAACCCAAAATTCGCACAACAGTCATAACGAGATCAGGCATGATCAACATCAGGTGGTGAACCTATGTCCTCTGTCAGGGGGACTACCTGCAAAAAGCCCGAGCGCATCAAATCATAGTTGCAAGTCTTTCGGTGAGTACCTCGACATGCGTCGGCCATAATATGTGAACCTAAGTACCGAGAAAGAATGGAAAGCTTGTGACCACTGAAGTTGGCCACTAAGCAAGGTGCGTTGCTGGCGGCTTGCCCTGGTTCAATGTCTTCCTTTGCACACGCAATGTGTATGTCCTGTTGCTGTAATGCTGTACTTGCCACTTGTTGCACACGGCCTGCGGTTTCAGGAGTTCACCAAACCCTTCGTTCATTTGGCAATGTTGACCTTGGACAGTGCTGCGTACATGTTCCGTACAATCCGGTATCTGCGGATGTTGACCAAATCATGTTTGAAAACTCAGCTGCAAACATTTGAAGCTTTGGCACAAAACGCCCAATTGCCTTGGCTTCTGCTCTCTAGCCAGAACCAGCCAAAGCTGCATTGAGCCCAACACTGAGCCAGCAATACGCCGAAGCAAGCCTTCTTGGCTGACCTGGACATCGCCTCCAGAGGGGAATGTGCTAGCAGCTAGCAAGAAGCTCGAAGCACACCATTGTAATGCGCCCGGGGCAACGACCCTTTGGCCGCCACGTTTCGTTTAATCACCTACCGACTCTTACCTCTACTGTTGACGGTTGGTGAGTGTTGGCTGCTGGCATTGTGTTGCAAACGGGTATGCTTCAGTTGGAAGTAACATCCATGTGTCCCACTGCTATCGGGGGCATTTGAACGAACATGATTCGTCTTGAACCAGCTGACAAAAAAAAAAAAAAAACGTGTCTCCACATGGCCGACTTGCCCAGAACAAAAACACAACTTTGCACCACCACCACCACCACCACCACCACCACAACAACAACAACAACAACAACAAGTTCCCAGAAAAAAATGGTACGTCGGACGTCGCATCAACAAGCATGTTTCAATTTGAGCTTCTTCCCACCTCACGAAATTCAATACCTTGCAGCTGGCAGATACAAAATCAGACCTGCCCTTCCCAACAACTCCCAAATGGCGGAAGGGCAAAAGGCCTCTTTTTGGCGAAGGCTCCGTGTGGCACCCAAGAAGCTGGGCTTTTCATAGCATTTTGTTTTGGCTTTTGTTGGGGTGGGGGGACCCTAAACCTAAACCCTGAACCCTCAACCCTAAATCCCAAAACCTAAACCTAAACCCAAACCCTAAACCCTAAACCATAAACCCTAAACCCTAAACCCCCATTTTCGCGAACCTGGGCTCTTCACGTCTTCACGACTTCAAGACTCTTCCTGGTTCTGCAACTCCACTCGGTTAAAAAATCGGTGCAAACTTAACATTACAGTTTGCCGTGCCTCTGCTGCTGTGGCTCAACCTTGACGGCACACTCTGAAGTATCGAAAGCAACGAATTTCAAGGGCTTCCACAAGCTTGCCAGGGTTTGCCAACATTGCAGAGAGGGCGTCACACGTTCGCGAGGCGGTGCGGACGCCATTTTGGCTTTGAAGCCAAAGCTGCCATCGTTTTGGGGAGTTTGTGCTCCCGCGCTAGTCGACAAATGCTGGAAAAGGCCCAAACTTGTACTGGTCGCAGCTCAGCACGCGCAACTGTCCTGGGCGCTGCCCAGTCCCATGCCATCACAGTATATGCTTGATCCCACGAGGCCATATCCAGGAGCACAAAAGTCATAGGACTCATCAAATGAACCCCGCTGCAGTAGTAGTGGTCGTCGTCGTCGTAGTAGTAGTAGTAGTAGTAGTAGTAGTAGTAGCAGCAGCCATGCGCTCCCTGTGGCGCCTGGTACTTTGTTGCCTTCGGATGCCGAAAACATCGGTATTGGCGACACTTCCTGGCTTCGCTGCGTGCGAATGCACACAGCAAAGCACGTGCGTTGCATTTTCGCAGCATGCGTGCGCATGAAATGCAAAAAACTCGGTTTTTCCGACATCGAATGGCATAGCATCCACGTCCGCACGATGATGACGTCCGTGTGACCAAAGCATCCATGTCCGCACGAGGAGAACGCCCGTGTGACAAGAGCATCCCTGTCCGCACGATGATAACGCAAGTGTGACCAGAGCATCCATGTCCGCGCGATGATAACGTCCGTGTGACCAAAGCATCCATGTCCGCACGATGATAACGCCCGTGTGACCAGAGCATCCATCTCCGTTTCTCTGCACGCCCTTCTCGCTGAGGCAGCATATCCCCTAAACCCTACGCGTCACCGCCGCGGCCATGCAAGAAGCAAGCAAAGCATGTCCCCATGAGAGAAGCAAGCAAAGCATGTCCCCTTAACCCTAAACTTCACCGCCACGGCCATGAGAGAAGCAAGCAAAGCATGTCCCCTTAACCCTTAAATTCACTGCTTACCCCTAAACTTCACTGCCAGGGCCATGAGAGCAGCAAGCAAAGCATGTCCCCTTAACCCTAAACTTCACTGCCAGGGCCATGAGAGAAGCAAGCAAAGCATGTCCCCTGAACCCTAAACTTCACTGCCAGGGCCTTGAGAGAAGCCAAGCATACCAAATCCGGCCTTTTCAGTTCCGCGGAATAGTTGTCCGAAAAATGGCCTGTTCCGCTTTTGGACACGAAACCACGATTCCATTGTAAATACCATGCAATTCGGGTGTTGACACGTGCAGTCAGACCAGGCCCCCGAGAGCTAGCCGAGTAGTAGTAGTAGTAGTAGTAGTAGTAGTAGTAGTAGTAGTAGTAGTAGTAGCAGTAGCAGTAGCAGTAGCAGTAGCAGTAGCAGTAGCAGTAGTAGCAGTAGTAGTAGTAGTAGTAGTAGTAGTAGTAGTAGTAGTAGTAGTAGTAGTAGCAGTAGCAGTAGCAGTAGTAGCAGTAGTAGTAGTAGTAGTAGTAGTAGTAGTAGTAGTAGTAGTAGTAGTGTAGGCGTAGTAGTGTAGTTGTAGTAGTGTAGTTGTAGTAGTGTAGTTGTAGAAGTGTAGTTGTGGCTGTGTAGTGTTGTAGCCGTAGTTGTAGTTGTAGTTGTAGTTGTGGCTGGTTCTAGTTGTAGTTGTAGTTGTAGTTGTAGTTGTAGTTGTAGTTGTAGTTGTAGTTGTAGTTGCAATTGTAGTTGTAGTTGTAGTTGCAGTTGAAGCACTACCAGCTCAAGCCGCCCGCGCATGGTAGCTGTCGAACCGGCCAAGGCCCCGAACTTCATCTTTTTAACAGCTTTCGGGGCCCACCTAACATCTCAAGGCTCCCTAGCTTTTGCCAGCTGATGGCTTTCGAGGCTTTAGCCTCCTGCAATTGAGATTCCGCTGCAGACAGCATATCCACGAGTTGGCCCGGTACCAATTCCGGGGGGAGACACCAAGATCGTCCTAGACTGCATCTTTCACTCCCAAGTGTGAGGGTTCTCGTCTTTCCGCAGGACGAGGGGAGTCTGATCGTGCCTCGGCACTTCAGGCAAAACAAGCGGATGGCAGAGGGTTTAATTTGTAAACATTCCTATCGTCGGGCCTGTCACCGAGCCGTAAGGGACGGTTGCGCAGTACCATATCGCGAGACTAATTTGCCTTTAAGCCAGGCACAAGCTGGCGCAGGCACAGTGGCATCAAGTGCAAGTCAGAGGACAAGGGCAAACACGCATGCTCAATTTGAACCAGAGCTTCCCCTCAGGCAGTCGCGAAGGCGTCAACCTAGAGGAGGGCGAGACGCAAAACCGCTGCGAGTCTTCTCGTGGAACGCAGGAGGTCTCAGCCAGCAACTGTGGGCAGAGTTCAAGGAATGGCCGCAACATCAGCAAGATCACACTGGACCACCTCTTCCCAATTCAAGGTGCATGGTTGGACTGCAGTTTCGGGAGGACTGCCAGACGCAGAGCCTGTGAGGTCTCCTCCTGCTCCTGCACCCCTCCCACCAGACCAGCAACCCAAGCATAAGAGGTCCGCAGGCGTGCTCACACTACTCTCGCCAAGCATAGATTCTGCCACGCTGCGTTGGCAGGACCTACATCCGGGACGTGCGCATGAAGTCCGCTGCGAGGTCCGAGGCCAACAAGTGCTCCTGCTGAATTGCTATCAATACACAAAACAGAAAGGAATGACGGAGCAAGATCACTACGCCATTCAGGGCAAAGTTCTCTCCTCACTGGGAAAGTCTCTTTCACACCTGTCACAGCGTGATAGCGGGAGACTTCAACTCCTCTCTTAGACCTTCTCCCCCTTTTGTAGGGGGCGTAGTTCCGGCAGGAACTTCGAAGCAGAAGCCAGTACAACAGCAGTTCCAGAAGTTTCTGCATCGAAATTCCCTAGTTGCACTCAATACGTGGCAGGGACGGAAAGCCAACACCTATACCTCGCCACAGGGCAGCTCACAAATAGATTTCCTGTTGACCACGAAATATTACGCAGCTCAGCTGGCTAGGAAAGTGCATGTAATCCAAGATTTCAAGCTGGGTGCGTGGAGAAAGGGAGGGCGACTTAAACCACTCATCACCGCTATTCCCTTAAAAAAGGTCTGGAGGCACCCACTCTCGTGCAAACTGCAGCCTGCAGTTCCTTCCAAGCAGAAAATCATACTGGCCCACCACGTCCGACAGGGCACCTCCTCAGCTCAGAAGCTTGAGGAGCACGTCGATAAGGAGGTCAGACAGCTTCGAGAGCAGCAAAACGGAGCACCTTTGCACCCAGATGAGGTAAACCAAATCCTCTTAGAGCACGCAAAAACCTTTCAATCGCATGAGCAAGAGGACAGCCGCACCAGCGTTGCGCCAACTGCACAGCCTCTTTGGCAGTTGCATAGCCAACGACAGACTGCACTTCGGAATCTTAAAAGGGAGGACGACCCCATAAGTAAGATGGCTCGGTCCGAGCACCTAAAGCAAACCCAGCGCTCACTAGATGAGGCAGCAAAGGAACACGCCAATCAGGTCAAGACAAGAAGCAAGCCCGAACCAGAACTCATCAAACTCTTCAAGAAATATCGGAGAAGGTTAAAAAGGACCCACATGCGGCATACCGCTCGCTAAAA